TGATCAAATGGCATCCTCAACCGGTTCGTACAATTCCCCGTGCGCCGCCTGCAAATTCCTGCGGCGGAAGTGCACGCCGGGCTGCATCTTCTCGCCGTACTTCCCGCCGGAGGAGCCCCACAAGTTTGCCAACGTCCACAAGATCTTCGGGGCAAGCAACGTCTCGAAGCTCCTGAACGAGCTCCTGCCGCACCAGCGCGAGGACGCGGTCAACTCCCTCGCGTTCGAGGCCGAGGCCCGCGTGCGGGACCCGGTCTACGGCTGCGTGGGGGCCATCTCCTTCCTCCAGAGGCAGGTCGACCGCCTCCAGAAGGAGCTCGACGCTGCCAACGCCGACCTCATCCGCTACGCCGCCGCCGCCACTCAGGCGCCTCCGCCTCCGCCACGCCACCGGTCGGCCGTGGATTACGGCAGAGGCGGCGGCGGGGGAGGTGGGTTTTATAATCAAACACCTTCTAGCTTCACATTCCCATACAATTATCATTTTCCCACATGGAATGGAGGAGGGGTGGATGGAAATATATGAGAATTAGTGATTAAATTCTTGAGAATTGGGCTCATGATCATCACCTATATATATATGTCTAGGGTTTGTTTGTTTTTTTTTTTTGTTTTTTTCCCTTTTAAATACCTCTCATATGGTGTGCATTTTTAACTATTTTATAAAGCATTGGCTTCTAGATAACTAGCTAGCCTCACATGCATGAATTAAACTAGAGAATAATATTTATTATATTGGTTGGTTTTTGGCAATTGTACCCTATGGCAAGTCACAAATTACTCTGTGGTAGAAGTGTACTGAATGCACTGTAAGATTAGGGTTTGCATTTTTCAAAACTGTCAGTTTAATGAGATCCGGCGTATTTAACCAGCTCTTTGGTGTAAAATACAAATTACTCTGTGGTAGAAGTGCACTGGATGTACTATAAGATTAGGGTGTGCGTTTTTCGAACTGCCGGTAAGAGATCCGGGGTATTTGACCTCTTTGGTGTAAAATATTGAGAAGTTGATCAAATTCTTGAGGTGGATGATTGGCTCTCATGTGAAGAGGCTTTGATTATTCTTTGGGATTGTTGATGATTGAGAGAATATAAAGAAAAAAGTAGTGATTGTGTGTGTGAAGTTACAAAGATTAATTGTAAGGAGAAGATTCTCCATAGCCCTGAGTCTATATATATATATATATATATATATATATATATATATATATATATATATATATATATATATATATATATATGTATTAAGCTACATGTATATATTCTTAATTGTTGTTGAGGACCATCACTTGTTTATTTGTGATGTGCAAAAGTTGAAAGCAGGTGAAGAGTTTGATATATGTATATAGATAGCCTTTGGGTGAAAAGGGTCCATTAA